CTACCGACTAACCCTAACCCTAACCCTAACCCTAACCCTAACCCTAACCCTAACCCTAACCCTAACCCTAACCCTAACCCTAACCCTAACCCTAACCCTAACCCTAACCCTAACCCTAACCCTAACCCTAACCCTAACCCTAACCCTAACCCTAACCCTAACCCTAACCCTAACCCTAACCCTAACCCTAACCCTAACCCTCTTGCCTACGAACTCTTTTACCTCTGCCGCCGAATATATACAATATATAAAGCCCTTCGCTATATACCTTACGTAGGCTAGATTCCGAGAAACCCTAGTATTAGTCTCTTTAATCCTACTAACGTATAATAATAGCGCTCTTCGCTTTGCCGAGCCTACTACCTATAAGGCCTTATTATATACCTCTCTACTTGTAGAGTAGTAGCTATTTATAGCAGTTAGTCGCCGCGCTTCTATCTTAGCTCGCGTAGGCCTACTACTACCTCTGCTTAGCGTACTTAGCGCTATCTTAGGCTCTTCCTTATTATTATTATTATTATTATTATTATTATTATTATTATTATTATTATTATTATTATTATTAGGTATTTCGTATAGATCGAGCTATAGTACTATAGGTAGCCGCTTTATAAGACATAGGCTCGGTCGATATAGCTACGAAGAACTAGCAACCGGAGAAGAAGTAGTATTTAGCTATTTAGGTATAGTATAATACTACTTGTATTCGCTATTATTATCGATCGGCTCTAGTATCGGCTCTATAGCTATCTTATTGATCGCGTCGTATATCTATTGATCGTCGTCGGCTATAGCTAATTAGAGGCTAGAGAATTGCTATCGGTTTTATATATAAATTCGTATATATATAGTACTAATCGACTTGGATTAATGTATATATATATATGTATCGCATATATATAGAATTCGTAGAATTCCGACGTCTACGTATATTTAGGTATAGTATATAATATATATAGAGGGTATAAACTAAGTTTAGGTAGAGAAAAGATTAGCCTCTATATTAGCAAGATTAGCCGACGTTCTATACTACTAATAGGCTAGCCTATAGGACATATTATATAGAGGGTATAAACTATAGGCAGGTAAAAAGATTAGCCTCTATATTAGTAAGATTAGCCGACGTTCTGTACTACTAATAGGCTAGCCTATAGGATATATTATATATAGAGGATATAAACTAGGTTCGAATTGAAGAAAGATTAGCTAATGTTCTATACTACTAATAGGCCTACCTTATTCGATACTTAACTTCTTAAACTACTATATCTTAAGTAAATATAGAACCTCTCTCTCTCCCTCTCTCGCTCTCTCTACTACAATAAGGCTAAAGAAGAAATCTGCTTTCGAACTTCAATATTCTATTATCAATTCAAACTACGATCAAGACCTAAACGCAAGACAACCCGCTATATCGTAAGCCTCTGCAATCGCTACAAGCTCCCTTTCTACTATCGCATCGGCACAATGCCACCGAAGGAGTCCTCGAGCGGCCCTCAAATGACTCCCATTTTGCAACTCCTGAAGGCATGGACCCGAAGGACATGTGCATTGCTGATTGCTAGGCACCCGAACCCGATAGTGAAATCGCAATTCGGGCTGTAGGTCTTCCAACATCTGAATCCAGCGCTTGAGGTATATGCCTGCAGGGACAGCTCGACTTGCGAAGACGACGTACAAATTCTGGTTTCTCGAAAGTGCCGTGTACCATGCGGGATCCCTGTCCATATGCATCATCGCACGGGGGGGTATGGTACCGAGTGGCAGTCGGAGATTTGTGCGGAGCATGACTTCTGCGCGATGGTAGTAGGCTCGATGTGAGTGTGATGGCTTCAATCGACTGAATGTTCCTTGGGGGTTCGACGGCATTGCGGAAAGTGGAGGTACGGGTTGGACCAGCATGACTTCGTACCGTAGAGGATGAAGAAGAAACAATGAGCGACGGTACGGCGATAAGATGCAGCGCGTGTTCCTGGCCACACCTGATAGTCCTTCGTGTCGGACGCGGAGCTCGATTACTGCGTACTGCAGCAGCTGGCGAAGGCAATCCTTCTCGAGGAGTTTACTGCTTCGCAGGATCGGGATGTGAGAGCGAAGGAATGTGTAGTCCAGGCGCTGGTTCACACTCACGATATGGATGTCTTCTGCCATTTTCTGATAAATGATGTCGCGCAACTCCTTCGGCAGTTGCATCAACGGAAATGGAGGTGGTTGCAGACTGTGTCCATTGGCTGCTGTTGCTTGAGTAGCCAGCTCGAGAGCGGTGCGCATTGCTGATGTAGCAAAGGCGTTGGACATGTCTGTGATGAAAATGAGGCCTCTAAGCGATGTAGGCGTGCGATGGTTTGTGGTATGTTTTCTAATGATGAGGTACCGGACTTGATGTTGAAATGCTGCGGCTCTGTAGTGGTGTAGACCTGAACTGGAAGTATAGGTAAGGTAAGATACATGTAGGTGGCAGTCCCCATTGCCTTCCTGACCTATAATGAGCTGCATCAGTAGATCTGGCAAGCACAGCAGTAGGAGCTGAGAGCGGCTGGCTCGATGGAAGTAGTGACCCTCAGGTACCAAAGCCTACCTCCTCCTTACCGTCGGGCAGTTTCCAGTGTCTGCTACAGCCTGGTACGTTCGCGGGAGCGGCACAATGGCTGATGGTAGATCATCATCTCATGCTCAAATCCGTGAGTTCGTAGTAGAAGTACACGTGTATCATATTGCCTGCATTCAGCATAGCCACTCCGCACCAGAAAGGCCGTCACAATGCGCAATGCAGCGGCGGCATGGTCTCTTCTGACCACGTCCTCCGCGCGCGTCCGTCTTCGCCATGCTATCACATCCTCACATCCTTAGCTCCTTATCCGCCATTTTGTCTTTTCGCGCCGTCCTACACAATCATCTGCGCTACGCCTTGGCCTCCCAATGTCTTACTGCTCTGGAACTCCTGCCCCCTGAAGCCTGCGAGAGCGTAGAAGATGGCAGCGAGCAACAAGACAATCGCAGCTGCGATGAGACTCGTCGCTTTTGCAATGATACTCAGCCACTGAATGAGTGACATGACGGCGTAGATGGCGGCGCGCATGTAGTTGGTCGCGAATCGTCGAATGAAGGTATCGAATTTGGGAGAGGTCGGGCAGATTCGGAGGAGAAGCGGCACTTCAATAAAGAGGATGATGAAGGTGGATATGCTGTATGATCAGTCAGTCGCTGTGGCTCAGTGACCAGTCCGGGCCGCAGAGAACACGTACAGGCATAGCACACTGAACAGAATGACCCAGTGGAGGTGGAAGATGTTGGCGATTCCCAGGGCAAAACATAGAATCATGGCGATGATGCCCGTCCTACAATTCTCGTCAGTTCTGCTGCATGGAATACGCATGTGCGGCAGTGGTAGGAGAGTCAAGTATACCATTGGCCATAGATGCCTAGATGATGGCTCTGGTCAGCACCTGGTCCTCTTCGCAATCAGAAAACGATGCGCGACTCACTGAAGTTGCGCGATCTCAGCTCCTCCGCGAGCGTCATCTTGTCTTTCTGCTCTACTTTACTCTTTTCTGCGCAGTTCTGCTCTGCGCTGCTCTGCTTTGCGCTGCTCTGCTCGACCCTGTTCTGCTATGCTCTGCTCTTCTTCACTCTTCTCTGTTCTTCTCTCCACTCTACGCCTGCTTCTACGCCTGCTTCCTCGGTACTCGTACAATGCTTTGCTGGCGATGCGGTTGTTGATCTGGCTGAATGTGCTCTGAAGTCGATCCGCTTATTGTCGTCTTTGTTGTTGGGAAGGGGGGCGCGGTGACTCGACAGCAGTGGTGATGTGGATGTTTCAGGGGTCCAATGGACTTTGTATGAGGTTGCGAAGGGAGTTGGGTGGATTGTGTTTGCGTGGAGTAAAGTGAAGAGAGGTTCGCGTCCTCTACTGCTACCTGACAGACTACAGTGATGATCTGCGCGAGCCTCTAGTGAGACTTGCAGTGTACGTGGTACCTACTGGCCCTGCTTTTATTAGGTTGGTTGCTAGGCGAGGCTGCTCCCGGCCACTCCCGTCCCTTCAACATCAGCCTCATCAGCTATACCCGAGTTACCTTACAGACAATGCACAGGACTCATAAAAGGAGGTACAGTAAGTGGCTATCAACATCGACTGTTATTGAATGTTGGCTCAGCTGGAAGGAGCTACTGTATCTAGCGAGTACTGTACATCGATCATCTCCATACAGCACCAGTACCATTCACTCCTCCATCCATCCCCACCAGTCTGATGGAGCCTCTCAAGGGATGGGAGGTTTCGCCGGCCCAGTGCCTCATCTCATGCCCCCCGCAGAGACGAAGCTCTTTCGACGTTCTTGCTCCTGTCCTCCCACCCGGCGACGCTGCTCTCCATTTAGCACAAGTCGCGACGGGCCATCTTGTATCCCGGGTCACCACAGGCGGTGACGCTGCCCGTGCAGGTTCCGTTGCGGCACGATCCCGAAGGAGTCGCCCACCCCCAAAGGGCCACTTGTTTGCCGTTGGTGAAGACCTGGGTGACATTGCCGGCCTACACGCGCATCGTTAGTGCTGGCATTGTGATCAGGTCGGTATGCCGGGACTCACCACCGTGCCGAGGCACACATCGGCTTTGGCGTCACACGTGATGTTGAACGGCAACGGGGCCGCTCCCGCGAGCTGGGCCGAGCCGTATGCCCGGCCATCCTTCATCCATGCGGAGATGGTGGACTTGCCAGCTGCAAATGTGGTATTAGCACATCATCATCTTCTTCTCTCGTCGGGCACAACGTGGAATAGCACACTGTGAACTTACTGAAGTTGCCACCGTCGGTGAGCAGATTCTCAATCTCGCCAGATGCGGTGACGGTGCACTTCCAGGTGGATGAGTCGCATTTTGCAGTCACTAGATGGCATCAGACGTCAGCAACGGCATGGAGTCACGAGAGGTGATGCGAGAGTAGACTGACACAGAGCCGGAACGCTGCCGACGACACTGCTGACCGTGCCAGTGAGTGCACCGACAGTGCCAGTGACTGCTCCCACCGTGCCAGCAATGGCACCACGGACGGCGACGGTGTTGCCTGCGGCGTCGACAGTGGCCGCAAGAGCACCATTTGGTCCCAGAACCCCAGATCCGGAGATGTGAGTGCCAGTCATACCAGCAACACTGGCCAGGACGCCATCGAGAAGGGGCAAGGCAGCGGCGCCTGGAGCACTGACGCTCAGAACAGCGAGGAGGACGTTGAACAACATTTTGCTGGTGGGGATGGAGCTGAGGAGCTGAGTTGATGCCTGTTGCTGAGGAGAGTGCTGCTGTTGCTGGTGCTGCTGGTGCTGGACTGCGATGGATAATCACTTTTGCGATTGCATGGATGGTCTTATATCTCTCTCCCTCCTCATGTACTCGCTACATGTAGACACACGCGTACACCACGCAGTCGAGCCGAAATTTGCAAGCCCAGCAGCAGCATTGGACGCAAAAACAACCAGGCACAATCTGTCATCATTTTTCAGCCCGAAAAGCCATTGACAGTGTCTGGATGCGGGTTCGACATGGTCGATGGTTGGCGATGGCCACAGTATGCAAAAGATCAATATCGATCGAAGAGCTGAGTCGACAGTCCACCCTTCGCTAGGCAAGCTGTCTCGAACGTGTTGGCCCAGATCTGGTGGGTTTCTGGCTTCAGACTGATCCGTGCGGCCACGCGAGCTTTCCTCCTAGGGGGATTCATGCATGTCACTGGGGTTGTGTGTCGGTCTCACACGCCAGGAGAATGTATGGCGAACGTGCGTTCGCCCACTGCATTGGAAAGAGGGCGCATTCAAAGTCTGGTTCACGTTCGAGAACTGCGTCGCTGACTCAACTCGTCGGCAGTTTCAGTGCTGCATTAGTACACATGGCCGCACTGGCCCTTATGACTCGCGCTATACCACAGTGAGTGCACTAGCTGGTCACGACCACGCCAAGCCCACCACTCCCAATAACAGGCGCCATATGTCACGAGTCTGTCAACGAGCACTCGACATCTTCGATGCTGCTTCTCGCATGAACGCTCACCTGCATCGAGCATTGCCAACCACAGGTCCAGACCTCGTCCGCCACTCGAGCAACAGGCGCCTTGCTCAACGGTCGTGGTCCCTCTCAATGGTGCACCACGATCGATACCGTACCTTGCATTGAGGTGCGCTCCACACAAACACATGTCACGTCTATCGTCCAGGACCGGAAGACCTTTTTCCCGAGAGCAGGCGAGGATACGTGCCAAGGCGCAATACAGCAGCAGCATTAAGGTATTATGGATTATTTCTGATCTCCCCTAACTCCGGCCTACATGTACCTACCGGGCACGACTCACGCGTGAAACTTCTACAGTCAAATCCAACACCTCAGGATCCAACAGCAATCCATCATCATCGTCATCCCCGTTGCCACAATGCCCAAACTGCTCTCGCAACGTCTCATTGCCGGTGCGATCGCGAAAACACGCCGATTTCTCGTGTGCATACCTCCGCAACGCACTCCAATCCTTACACATGTGCCACTGTCCGTCTCCACTCGTGTGCCGTCCCAGGGTATACAAGGGGGTATTATCCGCATGACACATGATGAATTGTCGAAACGCATCGAAACAGTGTCTCGCATGTTGCACGGGATAGCTCAGCTTCGTCTCTTTGCGTTGATCATTACCATCTTGATTTTGATCTTGCAACTCAAAGAAGAGTTTCCGCACAATCTTGAGACAGTGCAATTGATGATAACTCTCCAGAAGATAGAGTCCCTTCGTTTCGTTGCCGGGAATCGGCATGGAATATGGCCAGTGTTGTTGCGCGGCGAGCGTGTGGTCGAGTCCCACGTGGCCGTAGGCGGTGTTGATGTTGTCCCAGAGCGTGTCGGATACGCTGCGGTTCGGGGAACTGTAGCCTGTATACCAGTGGAATTGGACGGGTTTGGAGGGTAAGGTGGGCTGGATGGCGATTGCGTTGTTGATTTCTTGTTCTTCTTCCATTTCTTTCTGTTGTCGTTGCTGTTGTTGCTGTTGTTGCTGATGTGAGGGTAGAAGTGTTGTTGTTGACGATCCAGACACTAATGATTGATGATGCTGCTGCCCTGTCGATCTGTGATGTCTTGCAGATTGCAATACTGTGGCGGCCCAGCCGCATGCCAGTAGGATATTCGATGCGAGCAGCATGGCAATGATGAGGCCACTTTTGCTGCTGGTGTTGGTAGCATTTCTCGTTGTCGACGAATATTCGGAAGAGTCTGCTTCGCGTTCGGATACGAAAAGAAGTGGTTTTTGTACTGTTGATTCGTCCATTTCGGCGGCCGATTCTTTCAAGATGGTATGCGCTGTTGCTTTCTTCTCACTCGATCAACCAACTCCGTAAGTGCAACTCTCATCAACAACAGCAGCAGTCGTTTCTGGAGCTGGAAGGAAGAGTAATTCAGAATGACAGACAGAGAGAGACAGAAAGAGACAGAGACACACAGAGAGCGAGAGAGCAAGCAAGAGAAACCAGCTCGAACTGGAATTTCCCCATTGGGAAACCGAGTCACGTTTCCACCCCTCAGCCAGACCCCGAAGTGTTCTAGAGACTAGGAGGTACCTCTTAGGAGGTATAATTCTATTTGTGAGTGTGGATACACCGAGGTCATCGTGCATTGCATATGGTATAGACCCATGACTGGGGCACTATACCATCATTCCCTCCCCTCCCCACCCCCTTCTCCCCTTCTCTGTCTCTGTCTCTGTCTCTGTCTCTGTCTCGGCCAGACTTTCTTGTCTTGGGCTATCCCACTCTGACATGTATTGGATCAGGTTGTACCAAGCTTTTCCCTTTGAGACACCCAGCCCAGGCTGCCCAGCCCCCCTATAGGGGGCTCCTAAGAGGCTAAGAGGCGTTTGCGCCATCGAATGGGCTTTCTTCCCTTTTCTTTGCCCAGTCCTACTGCAACTCTTTCTGTAATGTATATGCATGAAATTTCTAAAACACGCCACCAAAAAACTACATACGCCAGAATCTTCTAGCCTGCCTGCTAAGGAAAAGAGTCTGGTCAGGTACCCCCCTACAGACACACACACACGGGCACAGTGTCATGAGTAAAATCACTTTACCTTCCTTCCCGATGGGGATGGCTTGGGCGGCGTCGGCGTTCATGACCATGACCAGTTTTAGTGGCATTGTGGCATATAACTGACATGTCCGTCGTCGATGGGCCTACTGAGCCACGATGGACGATAAAAGGAAACGTCCTTCCCGATCGAGATTTTTTCATCGAGGCACTGCGAAAAGAGGAAGAAACAGGAGGAGAAGGGCCGCGACTCGAGAAACTTGTGAAGCACTCTCAACCGCATTGCATGCAATACCTTTTTTGTTTTCTTTTTTTGCCATTTGTTTTTCCCGCAGCCGAGTCTCACTCGATCACTACGTCCTTTTCTATGTACCCACCTCATGCTCTACTTACCTATTGCAGTCAGGTACATCGTGCCGTCGCGTGGACGCTCGGATCATCTGGGGAACTGAACTGAGTTGTTAGCTACCGAACTGAACTGAACCACTCATCCACTCTACTACTTTCTGCTACTGGCTACTGGCTACTTACTGTCCGCTGTGGACAGGCATATATTACTTCCAGCCCCTCCCCCTTCAGTACACTTTTTCTGATTCGATATCTGCTGGCCCACGTACGTAGCTGATCAGCTACAACCGTGCAAATATCCCCATCCCCAACCCTCGCTCCTCGTCAATCATTCATTACTTTCGTTAATCATCATTGCTCCTTTGCAATCATGTACGCGATCAGCGAGGCCAGCACGATCATTCTGACCGTCTTATTGACCGTCTTGGCGACTCTGGCATTGAGCTTGCGCCTGTTGACGGCCAATCGAGCCTACAAAGGCGATACCTTTCGCTTTCGATGGCACGTGGATGATTTTCTCTGCGTGGCGGCTTTGGTGAGTGGGACCTTCCTGTCCTCTTTTTTTTTCTTGCAAGACACATCGCTGACCACATTGTTCGTTTTCTTCTACTGTCACAGATCTTCCTCTATGCCAGTTCAGCCATCATCATCTGGGGCGCAGCCATGGGCGCCATGGGCTCCCATTCCAGTCCCGAAGACGCCGAAAACTGGTACACGACCGCAGGACCCGCCTGGATCGTTCTGGCCAAAACCTTCTGGGTGGTATTCTTCCTCCAACCGCTCCAACTCGGATGTATCCGCCTCGCGATTCTCTTTCTGTATCGCAGGTTTTTCGGAACCTACAAATCGTTCAATATTGTCAATTGGACTCTTGTCGCCGTCGTTTCGGGCTGGACGGTAGCGTTTTTCTTTGGGCTGTTGTTTGATTGTGGATTGCAAATGGACGCGAATTGGGCCTCGTTGGGCGAAATTGCGCAACAATGTCCGTTTGGATTTTTGCCGACGGTGATTTATACCATTTTGGATGCGTGTTTGGATCTGTTTGTGCTGTTGCTGCCGATTCCATGGATCTTTCAGCTCAACTTGAGTCTGACGAACAAGTTGTCTATTACGGGATGTTTCTTGCTGGGTTCGATTGCTACTGCGGCTGCCTTTGTGAGGATGACGGTGTTTATCCAGACGGGCATTCCGAGCGAGGCTATGAACCGCACAACTGTCATGGGTTTGCCGGCATATGATCTGTTGGGGATTGTCTCTGCCGAGGTCTTCTGGACTATGATCGAGTCGACTGTTGCTCTGATTGCAGTCTGTTTGCCTGCGGTCAGAAAGGCGGTTGCGAAGAGTGCTTTTGGAAAGGCCCTGGGCTTCGCGTCATTCTCGAGAATGATGCGCAGTGGCGGATCATCACCATCGCCATCCAAGATCACCATCCGGTCGGAATCGCCGGATGATAACAGATGTTCCAACTGTTCGGGCAAGATCCCCGTCGGCCACGTTGTCGAGGTGAGTGTGGAGAGTCCACTGTGAGAAGCGTGTGCGTGAAACGATCATCATGCTGACTTGTGATTCGAATGTAGTTGGAAAAAGGCGAAGTCTAAGTGAACTCGGACAATGGCATCGTGTTCTCAGCGCACATGCCCTGGCACATCTCCGACGAGTTGGTGGGCTCGTTGTGGCTCCCGGACTCTCGAATCTGTATCCATTAAAAAAAGAATTTTAAACCATTTGTGTAAAATATAGTTGGCTTCCAAAGCAGGTCTGACATGATTATGAGTGGTATGGTCATGAACGGGGGAACGGGAAAAGCATTCGGCGTCCCGTGTGGGTGTTGCTGTTGTTGCTGTTGCTGCTGCTGCTGCTGTTGTTGTTATTGTTCTTCTCCCGAAAAGAATATCAGCATTTCATCCCCGGCAGTATTCATTTTCCAGAATTCATCCAAGTAGTTTCGACACGTGTGAGTGTAGCCAACTTGTCTCTTCTACCGTCAACCTCTCCCAACATTCCTACGCCCTACGAACGCGGATAGGAGTCTTAGGGTTAGAGCTAACCTAACCATACCCTAACCCTGACCCTATACGTAGCTTCTGGGAAGGCCATATCCTGATTGACTGCGGGCCGGTAGTCTCGAGCAGTTTGCCAGAGTCGGAGCATGGAGGCGTTGCGACGGAGAAAAAAAAGTTATCGCAGAGTCCCTACATGTATCCAAGAAGATGTAGTGACAGACGGGACCATCACCACTCACTCATCGTATTAGTATGGCGAGGCCGCCGGGCCGATTTGTGTGGTATGATGCCAGATTGGATCCTTTTGCGGCGACATAACAAAAGTAGTTTGGCGGGGACAGGAGAGTAGTCATAGTCGCACGGCTATGTTTCAATCTCTATCAGTCTTGCAAGCTCAGGTGTCAGCACGGAAGCTATACAGAGAGAAAAAAGACAGATGCACCTCCTTCTTCCACTTCTTGTACTACTACTTCTTCTTCCAAATCCCATTTCCCACCCCACCCAGCTCGATCAAAGTCTTCTCCGGTCCATCGGCGCTCAACAACGGCTGCATCTCGGGATCTCCCTTCTCCATCGCTCTCACATATGCCGGTCGAGCAGCTACATCGCGCAGCCATCTCAGAATATGATCATAACCTTTCAGACTCGTACCAGACCAATATCGTCCCGTGGATAGGGAGAACATCATCATGATATCCGCAGCTGTAAAGTCCTCCCCGGCAAGCCATTTATGGGAGGATAATCGGTCATTGACGTGGGAGAGGGCGTCTTGTACTGAGTTTGCTGAGAGTTTCGGGAGAAAGTCATCGGGAGGTAGGTCGGCCATGCGAACGAGCATTGCTGTGTTCAAGGCTGGCTGTAGAGAACCGGAGCAGTAGTTGAACCAGTAGATGTAGTCTACAAAACCGGGTTGACCGACTGGCGTAGTGAGTCTGCCAGAGCCATAGGTTTCGATGATGTATTGGCAGATTGCGGCGGATTCGGAGAGGGCGAGAGGGGGGTTCACGGCATCGTCAACGATGAAGGGAGCTTTGCCAGTGGAGTTCCCGGGAAGTGATTTGAGAGACTCTGGAGCCGTGAGTGGATCCCGGGTGTAATTGACGAGGTTATATTCCAGACCAAGCTCTTCGCAGAGAAAGACGATGCGCTCAGATTGGGAAATGCCCAGGTGGTGTACTGTGAGCGTCATGCTTTCGGATGTGCGGTGGGCGGTTGTGTGACTGCGGTTAAGGAGCGGTTAAGGAGGTACCTGTAGGCAGCGGCGTGGAGAGGGGTTCAAAGGGGTGGTTGTTGTTTTCTCTCTCTCTCGACGACGTGACAGTTGTACATACATGTAGTATGAGATGGTGGTGGGGTGGATGACGTGGTGGGACCTGAAGCATCATGCCAAGTCTCGGACCTTGTAGAGCCGGGATGAAGGCGTTGGCGTTGGCGTTGGCGTTGGCCATGCCCATCATTGATGGCAGAGCGTGTCAATAGAAGCCATGGTCTGTATAGGCCTGCTCGGGGTGAAGTCCTTCCGGTTCCGTTGTGCGTTGTGCGTCGTGCATCGAGGGGAACTGTCACTCCTTGTGGCCTTCCGACCATGCTCCCACACACTGCTCATTCACGTCTCGAGACTCTTGTCAAGCTTCGCTTGCATGGTGAGTAAGTCCTTCTTCTTCGGGGGTATAGCTTTCTTTTCCTCTCCTGCAGATTTCGTCTGTGGACTGGATTCGACTCGACCTGTTCCCATCGCGGGCTCGTCGACTTTCGACGGGCTTGAGCTCTTGTCTTGCTTTTTTTGAGCAGCGCGTTCAGGGCGGATGGGAGATTTCGATTGTTGCTCTCGGATGCCCGTTCTTCTCTTGCCTGCCCTACGCGGCTTTGCAACGACCATCGTAGTCCCCCATGCAACTCTCTTGAATGCCGGCTGATCGGGCAATTCTCCTGGATGATGGCTCCCCCTCCACGCCTCTACCTCTGCTTCCAGCGTGTCAAACACGGCGTCGAGTCTCTTTGCGTGAGTTTCCTCTTCGAACTTGAACTGTTGGGTGTCAAAACGCCTCTCCGCCTCAGTTCCAGCTCTCAAACGCGCTCGGACTTTCTGACTCTGCGTCTCGCCCTTCTCTTCCGCATAAGGAACGGCTTCCAAGTCCTCGAGGTTGCGTCGTAAGTTCTCCACACGTTCCTGCAGGATGTTCAGTTTCGGGGGAAAGGTCCTGCGGTGTTGAGCCCAGTGAGCGGGCATGTACGATGGGATCGAGGGATTCAGTTGGACGGAGCGGGCCTGGGAGATGATTTGGCCCGTCATGGAGGCCAGCTCGCTGGCCTCAGTGCCAATGGCTTCAACCAGGCGTTTGGTGGTGGCGAGGGCGATGGAGTCGATTTCTTTAAGGTCTTCGAGCGTGTCGGCGCGGGAGGCGGCGTCGCGGCGAGGAGAGGAAGACGAGAAGGGGCGGCGGCGGCGGTAAGGGCATAGATGAATGGGGAGACGTCGAGGCAGAGGAGGCATGCGAGCAGACATGGTGGCAGGTCTGTTGTGTGTTGTTCATGCACTCACTTCCATAGTTGATAGGATACGGTACCTTAGACATTCATAATAAGCTTTCTGGGAAGCTTCATGACGGAAACCTCCAGCTTCAACCACCCCAAGATCATCTATTCTCTCATACCTTACTGACCGGTAACACGCAACACGCACACCAGCCCTTTACCCCTGCTCCGATGGCCTCGTTGCCGCTGGAGGACGATGTACGTATCATAACAACGGGGAATTAGGCAAAATTACCTGCAGAAGCTGAGTGTTATATACAGGTCTTCCAACAGCTTCGGAAGCCCATTGACGCCAAAGTGCTGGAGCAGCGCGAGAAGGAAATCAACGAGCGCATACAGACTTCTTACGACAAGGCGGAGAAGCGGCAGCATGAGCTGGTATGTGTCTCGTGCGCCTCTCGCGGTATCGTCATCATCAGCACCTCTTACGCATCCAGATCTCCCTGAATTCCACGGCGCCCGTGTCCATTTCCTCGATCAAAGTGCTGCACGCTACCCACACGCGTCACCACTTCCTCGAACGCATCTTCAACCCTCTCTTGACCCAGAACCGCAAAGACCAGGCCTACTACACCCTCCGCGAAGCTCTGGCGGAAGTCTCCCACGCCGTCGACAAGCTCAACCGTCTCGACATCTTCCAGTCACCCATTTCCACCTACATCGACAAAGCCGAGCCCACCGATTCCAGCACCACCCCGACCGACTACGCTGTGTTCGTCACAGCCAAAGAGCGCGGGAGATATACCATCAAGACCGGCACTGAAGCTGGCACTGCGGAAGGGAGCGCATATGTGAATGCAGTACTGAGAAACATCTTTGGCGGAGGAGAACGCTTGAATGGACATGCCAGCCTGGGGACCAGAACACGAGAAACGTACAGTGCGACGTTCGACACTCCCATCCTCTCCAATCCGGACCTGCGGCTCGAAGTGGGAGGTCTCAAGTCGAGTACGATCAAGCCATGGGCATCTCACGAGGAAGTCTTACGAGGGGGGTCGACGAAGTTTTTATGGAGGAATTCGCCGTTCTTACATCAAGAGTTGGGGTACACGGGGTTCTGGAGACAAGTGACGGGACTGGCGGAGAAAGCATCACCTACGATCCGAGCTGATGCGGGAGATAGCTTCAAGTCTAGTCTGTCGCATACTCTGACGTATGACTCGAGAGATACACCCATGTTGCCTTCACGGGGACTCTTCTTGAAAGCCGCTTCCGAGCTGGCCGGCGTGGGTCCGTTGGCAGGAGATGTTGCCTTTGGGAAATACGAAGTCGAGGGTCAAGCTGCTGTGCCAATCCCCATCCCGGGAATAGAAGGGGACAGCGGGATTTCATTCACGGTCGGATTGCGAGGTGGTTTCATTGCGCCTCTGCCACTGGGGGGAGAATCGACAATCAAAGGCACGAGGATTAACGATCGATTTCAACTGGGCGGACCCACAGATGTGAGGGGATTCCGTCTTTCAGGACTGGGGCCCCGTGATGGACAGGATGCTGTCGGAGGAGACGTCTATGCCGCCGGTGGTGCTTCCCTTCTCTTCCCTCTTCCCCGAGTCGGTGCAGACACTCCGCTACGGCTCCAAGCGTTCATCAACGGAGGACGGTTACTAGCATTGCGAGATACACCAGGTGATGGTCCCCGGAGGGTAGGCGACGTCGGAAACAGTCTGACGCGCACCATCCACGACTTGAGCAACAGCTTACCCAGTGCTGCTGCGGGCTTCGGACTGGTCTATGCCCATCCTGCAGCGCGAGTCGAGGTCAATTTCAGTCTCCCCCTCGTGATTCGCAAAGGCGAAGAAGGACGGAAAGGATTGAGCTTCGGGATTGGGTTGAACTTTTTATAGAGAGAAGAAGTGTGGAAATGTGGGATTCTGGCTTATGTAACCCCAGCGGAAGAGAGGATGCAGCATAATGTATCTCGATTCATTGTTGATATCACCCATTTGCAGACAGACAACGCACTTCATATGGCCAGCCGCTGCACAGGAAGCAGCCTGCGTTCTGTCCGACGTGTGGTATCCTTCTCACCTCGTTCCCCTATCTTCACTTCCCTCACTTGCTTGCGTACTCACGCCTCCTCGACCACTCCCGCGGCGGAGAGCAGCATCAATGCATCCTTTGCTACCAACGCGTCTACCACTCCCACTGCAGCGATGCTCTCTGCTTCATCCAACCATGTCACAGAGGAGAGCATTACAGGCGCATCGGGTCGCGTCTATCGAATCGAAAAAATCCTCCAAGACAAAGGCCATCCACTCACCAAAGTCTATCGCGCAAAGTGAGTGTGCTGGAGGTAGCAGCTCTACACGGAGTCTCATCGATATCCAGCAACTGATGTATTTTTTTACTCCAGGAGCGACGGCATGACCAACGACTTCGTGCTGAAAGAGATTTCGCAAGAATGGGACGTACGTCTGGGAATCTACGAACGCATCGGCAACAATTGTCCGTATCTGCGCAACCTCGTCGATACTATTCCCGAACGTCAGATGTTTGTGTTTGAGTATCTGGAAGATAATTTGTTGCTTCTTGCTCGTCAAGAAGATGAACAACCACCGGTACCTCCGTCGGCGATGAAGTATATTCTAAAATGTATCCTGAAAGGGTTGGCGGAGTTGCATTCGAAGGACATCATTCATAATGGTAGGTGAAGAGAGTCCACCTTTCATCCTTTTCGCTGAAACTGATCCTCTACCTTACCTAGATATAAAAGCAAACAACATCATGATCCAATTCTCCTCCCGCGCGCCCGAATGGAAAGTCGCAAAAGTCCAACTCGTCGATCTCGAAGACGCACATTATACACCTCCTCCCGCTGCGCTCGGAGGCGCATGGGTAGGGAATATCATGTGGCGAAGTCCCGAAGCACATGCCATGGGCCCTATTCGCAAGTCTTCGGATATGTGGTCTTTTGGTCTCGTGGTATGTCTCTATCTATCTCTTTATACTACCAGCTATATATATACTAATCACCTCTCCCTCCCTCTTTCTCTGCATATGCAGTGTCTCTACGCCATCACCCGCGTCCTCCCCTTCGCAGTAGACAAGGCATCCTTACCAAAAGATGTAGAGCCACTGGCCATCATCATCTCCCGCCAAATATCCTACTTTGTAGAGGCAGATGATTTCTGCGCGTTCATCAACTATCTCGAGCCCGATAGTCCCTGGGTCCAAGCGTTCATGGAGACACTGAAGGAGTTCACCAAGGGAGGCAAACCGTTCAAACCTTTTCGTATGTGGAAGCATTATGAGAGGTTTGGGCAGCCGGAGAGTTTGAGAGGGTTGATTGGGGAGATGGTGAGGTTTGATCCTGATAAGAGGTTGACGGCGGAGGAGGCGTTGGGGCATGAGTGGTTTCGGGAGGGGGAGGGGGGTTAGTTTATTGTATTATATTGTACTGTTCTTTTTTTTTTTGTGTGTGTAGGATTAGAAGGGAGAGGGATTGTGAAATCTCCGCTTTGTACTGACTGACTAGCGAGGAAGGGGAGGGAAACTCTTACAAGTGTAGATCTAATACAGCCGGTTTGTGTAAGAATGAGGGATGGGTATATATCACCACTCTAACTAGTGAGAACACTGCATGAAATCATGAGGATCAAAAAGACTAGATAATAATCTTACTACATCCTGTAGGATCCTTAGATAACATCCCCCCCTCCTCCTCTCCTCCTTCTACTCCTCCTCCTTCTACTCCTCCTCCTTCTCAGTACCACCACCACAACAATTCACAAAAAGCAACTCCGCAATCTCCTCCACCACCTCCCTCACCATCTCCTCACTCTGCATAACTCGATTCCCTTCAAAACTAATCTCCAACCAATCTCCTTTTTCTTTCCCCTTTCCTCTCCTCGGCGTAGCATAAATCTCCGGCCTTGTCCGAGGAGGATGCGGTCGATCAAAAACTTCCAACTTGCACGCAGGAAAATCAAGAAATGAACCACTACTCCCCTCCTCCTCCTCCTCCTCTTGATCATCATCTTCTTCATCTTCCGCTTTCTGAAATCCCGTCCTCCAGCCAAAATCCCCCCTGCCACTCCCGCTCTCACTCTCCCTCGACGCAAATTTCAAAATATCCTCCATACCCACAACCTCATGTATCGAATCCTCCAGAAATCTCTTTTGTAAACATTTCGCTACACTCCAGAGATTCTCGTCGTCATCATCATCGTTAAAAATATATCGTACGGGTAATTCGATAAGTGTAGGGCCCACGATGTCGGAGAGCTGAGAGGGGAGCATAGAGCGGCCTGTGAGGAGGCGGCCGAAGAGGATTTCTTTTTTGTTGGTGATGTTGTTGTTGTTGTTGGGAGAGGGAAGAGTTCGACGAGAGAGAATAATTGCGCAAGCGGCGTGGAAGAGGGTTGCGAGGGGAATGTCTTTGCAGTTTTTAGGCGAGGGGAGAGGGATTTTTCGGTGGAAGGATAGACGATCTTGGGGTGTTAACGGGCTGGCGGAGGAGGAAGCAGTACAGTCCAGTGTTGTTGTTGTTGTTGTTGTTGTTGGAGGAAGAGGAGGAAGAGAAGCCCCTTTCAGTCGAGTTTGCCAATACTTCAAACTTTCCATCTTCCTCTTCTCATGATACACCACGAGATCTCCGAATCCGAATTGTAGACGAGGAAGAGTCTCTCCGCGATAGAAAGCTGCCAGAGCCTTGAACATGGCCTCGATACTATAATCGTCGAATTGCGCATGTGAGATTTTGAAAACCAGCTTTCCCGGTTTCGAACTTCTGCTGCTGCTGCTGTTCACAACAGCCATGAAAGCAACAAAAGATTCTCCCAATCGATTTCCACGCCGAAGATCACCTTCACAAATCCGCTTGATCGCCCCATCGACATCCTCCTCCTCCTCCTCTTCCTTCACCTTCACAACTTCAAACCTTGGTTTAAAATATCTCAATTGAGCCTGCCAAATCGTTTCCTCGACATCCACAAAAACCGTCCTCAAAATCTCAAAATGCTCAACCAATTGCTTACATGCGCGTCTCAGACGGGGGATTTCGACATTCGAGGGGAGATTGAGGATGAAATATGGTAGTCTCCCAGGAGGATTCTGCAAAGCTTCGCGAACAGCCAATTCTTGGAAATTTGTCGTTGGGAAAATGTCTTGGATGTCGTCGATGTCGACTTCGTGGGATAGGAGAGGCTCGATGGTCGTGGAGAGGAAATCCATGTAGTCGCCGCCACCGCCGGGCTCGGAAGTAGTAGTTGTTGTTGTTTCTGCTGTCTTTGGTAGAAGGGAAAAAGGTTTTCGAGGAGAAATCTCCATCGCATGATTATTCTTCTTCTTGTTGTTGGGTGTTGTAGTCGTGCTAATCTCTTTGGCCACTTCAGCCAATTGACTCAATCTCGGATTTCGAAAAATGTCCGCAACAGTGAAAGATATTCCCGCCTTTCTAGCCGCAGCCACGAGCCTCATGGCCGAGATGGATTCGCCGCCGATTCGAAGAAAGCTGCTCTGAGATTTGATACTGGAGACTTCGATTCCCAGAATTTGTCCCCAAAGCTCTTGGATTCGTCGTTCCATGTCCGTGTTGGGCCCCTTTTGTGATACCGATAATGATGAGGATGATGTCTTGCTACTCCCTGACAATTGCATACTCGCCAAATCTTCGAGTTTTCTCTGGCCTCCAAGACGACGAAGTTCTCGTCTGTCAATTTTGTTCGTAGTCGTCATGGGCAATTCATCCAATGTGATGTATGCTCCCGGTATCATATACTGGGGCAGAATGTCTCGAATGTCTTCTTCGGCATCTTCGAGAGCTCTGGATAAGCGGAATGTACGATCTAACCTCTCGTGTGAAGGAATGTCTCGCCTCAGAGCCAGGAACATGGCCAGAATAGGGGCTTTGCTGTTCGAGGGGGTGATGATTTCTGCAGCGACCATATCGCACAGCGTGGTATGTTTGCGAAGAGCATTCCCAATATGATGTTCGACTTCACTCAGCTCGACTCGTTGTCCGCGAAGCTTGACCATTTGGTCTTTTCGATTGATAAAAGTCATGGAACCGTCGACGGCATTGTATCGAAGGAGATCTCCTGTCTTGTACACCCGCGGCGCCGTCGTGCCTATCCGACCACTTTTACACAGCCACGCCGGACTGTCGAAAAATGCCTTGCTCGTGGTGTCCGGATCATTCCAGTAGCCTGTTGCCACAGGTGGTCCTTCAATGAGAAGTTCTCCGACAGCACCAATAGGCGCCAACCGATCGATTCGCCCGGGCTCAACCAGCCAGGCCCGGGCAGCAAAGCAGTGGCCAACATAACCCGATGGACTATCCTTGGTCAGCTCGGTGATACACGTAGCTTGTGCACACTCGGCGGGACCATAAGTGCCCACAACAGTCTCGACTTGTCTCCAACGAGCCAACTCGGCGGATGGGATCTTCTCACCTCCCATGGCCAAGATTTTGAGGCCAGGCAACGCCAGGGGATTCAATGAACAAGCGACAGTGGGCGTGAAGTACACGTAGTCTGCCCCTAAGCGATTGAAAGCGCCAGGAATGTCGTTTTTGCGCTCCGTCTCGGACGGTATACAGAGACAGCCGCCACATGTCAAGGTATTGAGTAGATTGGACCACGATACATCAAAGCTGTATGAAACAAAATCAAAGACACGCGTGCCAGGCCCGACCTTGAGTTGCTCTCTCTGGTGTGTGACAGCAGAGCTAAAGTTCTCATGTGTGGTAGTGACACCTTTGGGCTCTCCAGTAGAGCCAGAAGTGAAGACGACATATAGGAGGTCACTCGGGCTGACCAGGGGTAAATCGACGCTGAGGTTGTCGAATTGCCGCTCGTTCAGGAGTTGTCGATTGACCACGATAATCTCCGCGTTGTCGTACAATCTGCTGGCCAAACTCTGGTTGGCTTCGGATGACAGAATGAACTTGGGTTGAATCCTGGTGACAATCGACTTCAGACGTCCTTCTGGCTGCGTAATGTCCATGGAGACACAAGCCGCCCCTGATTTCACCGCACCCAACGCTGCAACTGGTTGCCACAGAGACTTGTCGAAGCACAAAGGCAGCACTGTGCCCGGCACAACGCCACGGGCGATCAGAATTCGAGCGAATCGATCTGTCAAATTGTCCAACTCCTTATACGAAAGCTCACCATCCCATGAACAAAGCGCTTGACTGTCGGGATAGGCTGCAGCGGTGGCAGTAAACAAATCGTGCACGCAAGACGGCACAGCCGCTGGCCATGTCGCGTTCCATTGCCATATAGTGTCAATATCTTTCTGACCGAGCACGCTGAGATCCTGGATAGTGTTCTGGGAGGTGGCCGCGCCAATTTCACGTAGGACTCGCTCAAAATGGCCGAGAAGAAGGCTTGCTTGAGGTCGATTGATCACATTCGAGTCGAAATTGACCTCTATATGCAGACCAGTGGAGCCTTGTAGGTGAATCATGACCATCATCGCATGAGGATTGAAGTGATTCAAACTTCCATCATCATCATCCAAAGAGGAAGAGACACGCACGAACGGCCCCTGTTCTGGCATCAAACTAGGGGCTTGCATGGAATGTTGCACAATCAACAGCGTGTTGAATTTGGTACCCATGCTGGCATCCTCACTTGCGCTCTGAATGTCGCTCAAAGCAGTATGTTCAAATGGAATCGTGTCAATATATTGCTTTTGCATCGCCTCCAGCAGCTGGTGGACTGTCGTGGTGGGACTCATTTGCACGCGGACAGGGACAGCGGCAATTAAAGGGGCAATCATCCCTTCCACGCCGTCCACTGGCGCTTGACGGCCGGTGCTGAGTACGCCGAACACAGTATCTTCAGAATCAGTATACCGTGCCGAAAGGATTGCCCACGCCGCTCGTACAACAATCGCAGGAGTAACGTCTTGCTTCGGCCAGGGAATGTCTACAATCTCACACGAGACCGTGTCAGTTGCTTGTGGTTGATATTGCTCCGAGGGAAGAGGAGGGTAAGGAGTAGCGTTGCAATTGGAGAATTGTTGTCTCCAGAAGTCTTTTGCTCTTTGCTTGTTCACACTGAGCACGTGCGAGATGAAACTCTGGAATGGTGCTGCTTGTTTGCGTAAGGTGTCCCCATTGTACACCTTGTTGACCTCCCGTAGCAATATTGCGATCGAGACAGCATCATATACGGCATGATGTTGTTCCAAAATACACAGCGTTCTCCTGTTCTTCGAGTCTTGGACAAGCGCCAATCGTGTGAGTGAAGTTCCCAGCCCCATTGATCGAGCATTCATATGCTCCAGGAATGCCCCGAGGCTGTCGAAAGTGTTCCATTCCAGAGCTGTCTTCAATTGTGCTTGAAGGAAGCCCTCGCCATCCACAGCAACGACTCTGTTTCTGAGAATGGGCGCAACAGTGCTACTCACCAGTTCCCAAGCCTTTCGGAGCAGTGAAACGTCAACATCCTCGCGCAGCTCGATCGATATCCGTGCAATGTAATCTCCCGGCCTCTTCGAAGTCACAGCGAGGAGTGACTTCTGAACAGCAGTACAAGGATAACAGTCCTCCACGCTCTCAACATCCACTTCGCACTGTCGAGCAACTTCGAGTCGGACCTCAGAGAACTTATCAGGACTCAGAAGAAGCGAAAAGGGCTTGATGACTGCACTGCCATCACCCCCTGTTTCGATTTCTTGCATCTTCTCCGCCATGTCTGCCAAACGAGGATGTGCCAAGATATCCGAGACTGTGAGTGAGTAGCCTTGTCGACGAGCAAGAGACATGAGCTGCATGGCTGAGATCGAGTCACCAGTCATGCGGAAGAAGCTACTGTGACAATCGATCGTCTCGAGTGGGATATGCAGGATTTGGGCCCACATCTGGCGCAAAGAGATTTCGAACTTGGTCTTAGGGGGCGAGGCATTACAATCATTCTTCGGCGATCTTGTCAGCTGGGCGAGCTCCAATTTCTTTCCCAACTCTCGTAGTCTTCTGCGGTCGATTTTGCCAGACGTGTCCAGGGGCATGATCGGAAGAGGTTCATAGCATGAGGGCATCATATACGCCGGAAGATGTTGCGCCAACTCTTCTTCCATGTCATCGAGGACTGCTCGCAGCTGCCACCATCGCGACGCATCGACGACCTCCAGGAAGACAACAATCGTGGGACGGGAGAGGACTTCAGGAGTAACCAGTTCTGCTGCCAACCGTGGCGATCGAATTCTCAGAGACAAGAGCTTGATAACATGCTGTTCAATGTCTCCCAGATCAATTCTTCGCCCGTTGAGCTTGACTTGACTATCTCTCCGTCCCATGAAGATGAGGGTGCCGTCCGTCGGATGGTATTTGACCAAGTCTCCGGTACGATATACTCGGCCCTGTCTTCCGCTGCCGTTGCCACCAGAACCTTTGCTCAGCCATGGAGGATTTTCGATAAAGGTCTGTCGCGTGGCAGAGTCATTGTTCAGATATCCTTGCCCAACAAGAGGTCCCTCGAGCACGAGCTCACCGACAGTACCGATAGGGGCTAAACGACTGGGAGTGTTCACGTCGACAATCCACGTAATCTGGCCATTCCCCTGGCCGATAGGAATAGTTTCTGGCACCGGTGAAGGTACTTCCCAGCTGGTCGCCCAAGCGGAGGCTTCAGAAGGACCATAGCAGTAAGTCACATGGCATTTTTCCACCCAGGGAACCAGTTCTTCTCTGGTGATTTTATCTCCCACGATGATGGCATTCTTGAGGGTCGGCACCGCAGCAGGATCAATCATTCGAGCGGTTGCCGGTGTGATGAGAACATCGGTCACGAGGAACGAGCGCAGGCTCTCCAGTAAATGATCCTGCTTTTGCGTCTCCGAGGGAACACAAAGTGTACCGCCGGCACAGAGGACATGGATCAGAGGCCAGTGATGGGCATCAAAGGAGTAGGCAGAGTAATCAAACATTCGTGATGTGCTGTCTAGCCGATGAGCGCTTCTCTGCAGCACTACTGCCGAACTCATATTGCTGTGGGTAATCATGCAGCCTTTCGGGACGCCAGTCGTTCCCGATGTGAAGACGACGTACAACAGGTCGGTTGCCTTGACGCGAGGAAGGGAAAGATGGGAGTGATCTGTCCATTGTTCACTTGTATCTGCGTCGACGACCATGACCTTCTCGCACAGCCTCGTGGACAAGTGATGTTGCTGGGACGAGCAGAGCATCAAACTCGGCTGGACAATTCGTAACATGTCGCGAAGTCGAGCCTCGGGCAGACTGGGCTCGAGCATTAGGACAGCATGACCAGCCTTGACCACTGCCAGAAAGGCGACTGTAGTCCATAAAGACTTCTCAAAGCAAATAGGGATGATCTGGTTGCCTTCCAGCTCCTCGCCCATGATTCTGTGGGCAATGGTAGTGGATTTCTGGTCCAGCTGCCGATATGTCAAATCACCATCCCAAGCGGAGAGCGCCAGAGCATCAGGTTGATCTTGTGCGACTTGGGCGATTAAATCGTGTATGCACTGTTCTTTTGGAAGTGCTACTGGTGAGTTCCATCGCCATATCCGTTCCATGTCTTGTTCTGTGGTCATATTCAGATCTGATATCAATGTTCCCCTTTCGGCCTCGCATAGCCCCCGAACGATCTCAGCAAAATGGTCAGCGAAGAGAGTGGCAACGTCGCTACTCATCACTTTTGAATCGATACTCAGCTGAAGCGATAGACTATCGCTGCCAAGCGTGCAGATGGCCATCAGAGCGTGACTGTTGAATCGATGGTATGCGCTCGTGGATTCGTCGTGACCTTTCGCAGGGACGTCGAAGCAAGTGCTGTCGGCCAGAGCCATGTCTTGTTGAGGTTGAATCACCAGCATCGAATGGTATCCGCACGCCTCTCGACAGTTCTCGTCGATGGAGGAAATGTGTTTCATTCCAACATGTTCGAATGCCACCATTTCGACTGCTTGGGCCTGGATTCTTTGCAGAATCGTACCAACTTCGGTCTGTGGTTCCACTCGAATTCGAACGGGCAGTGCTGCAATTGTTGGGCCACAGACTCGATCGATGCCGTCCATAGAAGCCTGACGACCAGATACAATTGCACCAAATACCGAGTCTCGCGAGTTGTTGTATCGAGAACACACAATTGCCCAGGCAGCGCGAACAATCGTCGATGGCAAGATGTCGTTCTGCCTACGCCAGGTCAAGTTATCGATGGAGCGTTTAATCACAGCATCTGGTCGAGGTTGGTAGCTACTTCGAGGGAGCATCGGAAAATGCTGCACGTCCAGGTCTGTGAATTGTGATTTCCAGAAATCGAGGTCAGCAACAGGATCCCGTTTGGCAATATGGTCGACAAAACGTCTGAATGGCACGATTGAGACAGGAGTCTGATCCTGGAGATATGCCTGAAGTGTCTCGCGAAGGAGCATGTTCATGACACCGTCGTAGGCCGCATGATGCATCATCAGCACAAAGGTTTGACCACAATGGTCGGGGCTGTCAACGAGACCATACCTCACGAGCGGCCTACCCAAACCAGGCGGTTCTTGCTCCAGTATGCGGGAGAACTCAGCCATAGTATTCGCGGGGGACCACTCGTCAGCGACACGGAGGACAACTTGAACGAGCCCATCGCCAGGGATGTCCACGATCCGGGTCCGTAATATCTCTGCTGCACAAACAACAGCCTCCCAGGACCGCTTGAACTGAGCGACATCTACCGACGGCGCCAGGGGGAGGATATCAAGTCCAACGTAGTCTCCCGGTCTATGCTCGGACAAGGCGATGAGACTTTCTTGTAAAGGGGTCAACGGATACACATCCTCGATATCATGCTCGGTCCAGACGCCGCACAATGATGAGGCAGCCCGCTGACGAACCCGGGCTGTGTCTTCGTTCGACACTCCAGAATCTTGCAGAGCGTCATGTCTTGTTGTCTGGGATTTCATAACCGCCATGGCAGAGTCATGCCTCCCGAGGACAGCTCTCTGACCCTCAGCCTGGGTCGCTTGGGTGGTCCAGAAATCAAGTACATGCGTCGAGTTGATGAGGGCCGATACGCTGCCGACACTCTGATCGACACCAAGAATCATCTGCTGCAAAATACCATCAAAGTGTTGTGCGAGAAATTTCACTTGCGCTTCCGTCAAGACTTGATCGTCGAAGCTCATCGCCAAGGTCATACCTGTGGGCTGCAGCCAGCAGGACACCATCAGCGCATGGGGATTGAAAGGATCCGTGCCTAAAGTATCAAGAGTAGCTCCGAAACTGCGAGCTTTGAACAAATTGTTGCTGAACGATAGACCCTTTCCCGTGGGAATAGGGTGAACGACGAGCAGTGTCTGGAAGAGGTCTTGAGGATTGATTTTGCCGGCTGCTCGGGCAATGTTGGAGATACCATAATGCTGATGTGGCAGAGTGATGATGTCTTCCTGTCGAAGTCGAGCATGGAATGCACCGAGACTTTCGGTCCAGTCGACACAGAAGGCTTCGGGAATGGTACAAACTATTGGTCCCGCGCAGTTTTCCACCCCAGGGAGATCGACCTGTCTTCCACTGGTAACATATCCAAAGACGACGCGAGCGTCCGACAAGAGGCGCGCTACAAGCGTGATCCAAGCCGACTGGATGATGATGGCCGGTGTTGCACCATGCAGAGGCCAAACCAGGTCGATGATTCGAGTGACCTCCTTATTGGCCCTGGGCTCGTACGCATCGTGCGGAAGTCGAGGGAATGCCTGGTATGCATCTTGGCCAACTTTCTTTCTCCAGAACTCTTCCGAGTCTTCCTTCGGAGCCTTCAGGAGATGACCAACAAAGCTGCGAAAGGGCAGCATCTCCACTCCGATGGTCAAAAAGTACTTGTCTTCCAGGCAATTCAAAAGCATGGAAAGGAGAGTGCCGTCGTAGATGCTGTGATGAATCGTCAGGATAAAGGACCGATCGATGAGACAAGCACGGCAGAGAGCATCTCCCAGGAACATTTCATCTTGCTCATCGTCGTGAAGGTATTCGCTGACCACCGAAGCGTCACGCATAGGAAGATCTTTGATGATGACCTGCACCAAGCCTCCTGCGAAAAGATCCACAACGCGAGTTCTGAGAATCGGTAATGCAGCCACAGTAGCAGCCCAGGCTTGTCGGAGTCTTGAAGCATCGATGCCACTCTGCAGCTCCAGCACACTCCGAGAGACAAATTGCATCGGATTACGAGCAGTCAGCGCGAGTAGGCCTTCTTGCGTCGGGGTGCACGGGTATATATCCTCCACGTCTGTTGGCGAGACATTGCACAGGCTGGCTGCGGCCGCACGCGCATCTTCTACACGGATTCCCGGTCTCAAGAGTGAGAATGGTGGCTCGATCTCTGCGGGCTCGTGGCTTTCACATGGCACGACGATAGCAGCCATGTCTGAGAGAATAGGATTCTGGAAAATCTGTACGCTGGTGAGACGCAGACTGTGTGACCGAGCGAATGATACAAGACGCATTGCGGCGATCGAATCTCCACCCAGGCGAAAGAAATGATCAGAGGTGTTGATACGACCGGACTCGAGACCCAGAACGGACGCCCAGAGGTCACGTAGAGTGCTTGTCGTCGGCGATTGTGGCTCGACGGCTTCTCCCCCAGACTCCTGAGACCCCGAGAGCGTCGACAGATGTTGTTTCGTGAAAGTACTGGCGAGTACGCGTAGCCTTCTTCTATCGACTTTTCCTGTTCGACCCAGTGGAATCGAAGTCAGGGGGATCAGGTATGTGGGAATCATGTAAGCTGGTAGCTGCTCAGCCATGTAATGTCGAAGCTCACTCATCGTTTGCGCATTGAAGTGGTCGTCGAGTTTTGATTCGCCCTTTTCAGAGGTATCAATGAAGGCGCAGAGGAACAGCACCAAACTCTCGGAGTCATCGTCTGCCAATGTCATCACTTCGGCCGCGACTCTCGATACGAGACGACCATGAGCCTCAGAATATGCCATGACGGTGGTCTCGACCTCATCCAACCTGATCTGTCTGCCATGCAACTTGGTCCATATATCGCCACGTCGGCCAAGGAAGATGAGGTTGCCTTCAGCATCGTACTTGACCAGATCCCCAGTACGACAGAATGAGCCAGAGTGAACTTGGATCGTCGCAGAGAGTTGCTCCAGCACTGCTCTGGGAGCACTAAATGTGCCCATGTCCGCGTTGTTGTCCGCTCCGCAAATGTAGCCATCTGCAACGATATGACCTTCGATGCAAAGCTCTCCGACCATACCAATGGGCGCTAGCTTGTCAGAGTTGTAAGCGTCAAGGACCCAAGTGCGTGTATGTAAACTTCTTCCAATGAAGCCCGTAGGCCATGTCGAATGCATGAGCGCGTGGTGTGTGGTGGCGACAGGAGCTTCCGCTGACCCATACCAGTTGAAAGCTGCTACACCACAGTTCAACCACGGTCGAGCAGTAGCAGATGTGAGTTTCTCGCCAGCAAACACAATCGTCTTTAATAGAGGCACTTGCTTCGGCTCCAGGAGCTGGGCCACAGATGGAGTCAGGCAGATCCAATTTGCTGTAACGGCGTTGATCGCAAGGGGCAGGTCATCCAACGGGTCTGCTTGTGGAGCAGGTATACACATACTTCCGCCGACAGAGAGCACTGCTAGACTCTCGATAATAGCAACATGAGAGTCGTAAGCCGCAAACTGAAAGACTTTGCTGCTGGCGCTCAGTCCGAACGAGTCCGCGGCCGCATTCAAATTGCTGCTCAACGTCAGGTGAGTCCACACGATAGCTTTGGACGAGCCGGTCGTCGTTCCAGGAGTGAAGACAACAAAAGCGGGATCGGAAAGTTGTATGGTGGCATCAGGCTGCAGCAGCGTATCACTGTCGGTAATGGTGTCTTGTTCCAGCAGCTCCTCCACTGTTACGATAGTGGCAGTGAAAGGACATGCGGCGCTGAGCTGTTGAGAGGTGATACACAGTATCGGATCACACACTCTCCCAATATGCTGAGCGCCGTCAATCAATATCGAAGACGAGACGGGCACCACGACTGCACCCGCGCGGAGGACTGCCAACATCACAACGACCATCGGTGATGATTTCTCCAGGCAAAGTATCACATTCCGACCTCTCACATTGTACCTCTTGAGGAGAGAGTATAATACTTTTGATGACATATGCCACAGATCTTGGTATGTGAGGTTGGTGTCGTGAGCTGCGATGGCGATGGCGCCGGGCTGAGTGTGCACCCGATCTTTGATCATGTCGACGGCTGATATGTGCACGGGAGGCGGTGACAAGGTCCTATTCCAGTCGAGTATTTGCTTCTTGTCCCGTTCAGACACGAATGGCAGATCCTGAAGCATGGTATTCTGATGTTCAGGGGAGCACAAGAGGTGTAGGATATGCTCCAACTGTCGAGCAAATGTTTCGCACTCTACTCTGCTGAGCATTGCCGTGTCAAAGCTGATATCCAGGCGAAGCCCCAACTCCGTGGGGCAGGCAACGAGCATGATGCCATGGGAGTTGAAGGGAGCGATACTGGCAGCTGCTTGGCTGGCATCAGGCTGGAGAGGCTGAGAGAAGAGCTCATTATTGCCATCGGGATCGTGTGGCTGGTCATCATCATTGTGCTGTACCACGAGCAAAAGCTGGAATAAACCAGAATCACCAGAGTCAGAGCTCATCATGGTACGACGAATGTTGTGTAGGCCGAATTGCTCGTAGTCATACATGGCAATGGTTTGATTTTGTATTCGACGGTGCAGATGGCCAACTGTCTCGGTCCAATGCAGCTTCAGTCTCACGGGAACAATGGCAAACGTTGGTCCTGCGATCTGTTCCATCATCGCTACTGACGCTTGTCGTCCACTGACAGTGGCTCCGATTACGATATCATCTGAGTTCGTATGCTTCGCAAGGAGGAGAGCGAGTGCAGCACGAAGTGTTGAACTGGGCGTCACTCCTGTGCGATACCACTCCAGGCCATTCACCTCAATGTGAAGCTCTTCTTTCACTTCTTTTGTCTTGCATACGGGTAGGAATGGAGCAGGTTCGTGGTCACGGAATTGCTCACTCCAGAATTGGGCTGTGAGTGGGTCTTGTATCTGCTTCAACACGTAGCGTACAAAAGGCTGGAAAGATGCTAGTTGTAGTGAATTGTGACACCGATTGCGGTATGCATGCTGCACGGCTTGAAAGATGAGAGATCGACTCCAACCATCAAAGATAGCGTGGTGCATTTGCACCCTGAGCACGAGGTGGCGGCCTTCATGACCCAGCGGAGACATGTCCACACGAAAGAGAGGTAAGCCTAGACCCATTCGATGCGGTGCTGTTTGATCAGAGAGATTCTCGAAGAAATGATGAATATGGATCGAATCATGGCGAATGACGATCTGGACCATATCGGCGCCCGGCAGATGTACGATTCGAGTACGCAGTAGCGGTGCGGCGTCAATAACATACAGCCAGGCAGCCGTGAAAGCTTCTCGATCAAGGTCTTCTGGCATGCGGTATGCAAGTTGATGTATATAGCTGTCGGACTGCACCGAGGTCATCGCAATCATGCCTTGTTGCATGGGAGTACACGGGAGTATGTCCTCAATCGCTTCTGGTGCGACGTTCAACGCCTTCGCAGCAGCCTGACGAATACTGCTCCGATCAACTCTGGGATCAAGTAGCTCCAAGGGCTCGCCTAACGGAGATGAGAGCTCCGTATCATCCGCTGTCAGAACAGTCTTGGCGAGCTCTCGAAGAGATGCGGCTTGCAGAACATTGGAGATGGAGAGTAGCAGCCTCTGCTGTCGAGCAATGGCGAGCATGCGTATGACCTTGACCGAGTCTCCACCTAAGCGCAAGAAATTATCGTTGGCACCAATGGTCTTCGGGTCCATATTCAACAATCCCGCCCAGATGTCGCGAAGTTGTCGTTCGAGGTGGTTCACAGGCTCGATGTAAGGATGGCGATGCACTATTTGGGACTGGAGTTCCAATAGCTGCGACATGACCGAAGCGCCTGCTGTCTCACGAAGGGCACGTCGATCTGCTTTTCCTGTAGATGCTCGCGGTACCTGACGCAGTGGATAATAGAGAGACGGAAGCATAAAGGCAGGGAGAGCATCAGGCAACTTCTGGATCAGGTCATCCAGTGCTGATGTGATCTGAGTGTGATCGTGATCTGCGGTTTCGATGAACAATGTGAGCAACGGAATGGTGGAGTCTGCAGGATACACGACGTCCACCAGGGCGAAATAGGGGGTGGGAAGCAATTGGCGAACGTGGTACTCTACGTCTGCAATCTCGACTCGCTGACCCCTGATCTTGACCTGAGCAGTGCTTCCTTTACGGCCCACAAAGAACAGCTGGCCGTTGGGTCCCTGCTTGACCAGATCTCCTGTCTTGTATAGTCTGCCACGGCGACCCGGATAGAGCGCATGGCCTTTGGTCAGCCATGGAGGATCACGAATGAATGCGGCGGAAGTAGTGTCTTCATTGTTGAGATAGCCGCTCCCCACCAGCGGTCCTTCGAGGTACAGCTCACCTACACAGCCTACGGGGGACAGCTGGGATTCATCTTCCGGATGGACGATCCAGGTGCACGCCCCAATACCATGACCAATACTGGGTCGTTCCCGATGTGAGCCTGTGATCTGGGAGAAGGTGGATTTGAAGGTGCATTCGGTAGGTCCGTAGCAATTGATGAGTCTCACACGTGACGCCCATTGCTGTATGTTTTCGGGATATGGCAGCTCTCCGCTGAGTAAGATGGTTTCCAGCGTTTGTGAATGAGAATCAGGCTGGAGTGTTCGGAGGACTGTAGGCGTGACATTAATGAGGGTGCAGCGATACAATTCGATCACGGAAGCCAGATCCTCAAGCATCACGTGATCTTGTGCGATGCAGAGACATCCCCCGGCACAGATGGTATGCAGAAAATTACTCCATGCGACATCGAAGGAGTAGGGGGCAAAGTCGAGCACTCTCGCCGACGTGTGGAAGCCCAGACTGTTTCCCTGATAGTGCACCGCACTTCGGACGTTGGCATGGCTCATACAAGCACCTTTGGGCGATCCCGTGGTGCCCGATGTAAAGCTGATATAGACCATATTCGATGCTACGGTCTGTTTGTTGTGAAGATAGCCGGCAGCCTCGGCCGAGGGGAACAAGGAGTCCGACAGTAGGATCCGCGCGACATCATGGCTAGCTGCTACCGGAGTTCGATCGAGCAGATCGGGTGACGTGACGACCAGCTTTGCAGTGGTTTGGTCGAGGATATTTTCGAGCCGCGCTTTCGGATAGCTCGTGTCCAGAGCCACTGCAGCGGCGCCAGACTTGATAATGCCCAGCATCGCAACGGGCATCCATTTGCTTTTGCTCAGGAAGATGGGCACAATGTCGCCTTCACGCACCCCGTGCACTGCAATCTGGTGTGCAAGAGCTCCAGCGAGCGCATCCAGCTCTGCGTAGGTGAGCTGGCCATCCCAGGCGTCGACAGCCAAAGCTTCAGGTTGATTCTTGGTGACTTCCGCTACCAAATCATGGACACAGCCTGGTATGGACAGAGGCACAGTTGCGTTCCATTGCCAGATTTGGTTCAGATCCTCATCAGACGGTCGGTATGATGAGCTCTCGGTGCCTGAGCACACGACAGGACCAGTCATGTTGACGCTCGAATATAGCCTGGCCAATGTTGGTGTCAATCGACGTTGAACGTCTCGTTGATATCACGTAGGGAAGGACAGTCTCATGTAGGCGAAGTAGGCCCAGGTATGGTCAGTACGTCCAGTCTTACCTAGGTATGCAATTTAGGTAGGACTGAAGCGATATGGACAGCCCGTGCAAGACAATGTCTAGTTCTCAGCACCGTGCAACGCTGGTTACAACTACTTGCAACCACGAGATGTTTGGTGTGCACTCTATTGTTGTGGGCAGCGTGATGACAATCCCAGCTGGCATGTCCATGATCTGTACCTGAGCAGCCCAAAAGGGCATTATTCTGTATTGTACCTTGAATAGGCAGGGTGCGCTGAGAGTCAAGGGGGAGGACATACCTGGATAGACTCTTGTTGCCCCGGAACAGCAAACCCGGCGTCACATTGTGCCGTAGGACCGAGCGTTGTTGAAGTGGCTAGGGGCGTCGATGCAACGTAGGATGTAGGTAGTGTAGTGTAGTGTAGTGTCGTGTCTTCGAATAGGTATGCCAGCATCAGATCGGTGTGCTTACGAACGTCGGGATTCTGTTTGTACCTCCTTGGCCTAGTGAATAGCTAGCTACCGTACCCAGGTAGCTTATTGATAGGGGTCATGTTCGTAGGTACATGTAGCCTGGTGAATGGTCATACCCAATGTAGGGAATGTCTGCCCGCAGCGTGGAGGACAAGTACATAAGCGTGATGTGAGAGCTCGCACACATATGCCATACTGTACCTACGGTATAATGCTGTACCACGAGCAGACTAATCGATCATCGCCATGACCGCAGCCAGCACGAGAAATGCCATCCAGGCCACGTCCACGGCCCAGTCCACGGCCACGAAGGAGACGATGCCACCGCAGCTCGATTTCCGGGCATATACATCGGGAGATGACTGTGAACGGCAGCGATTCCGCGTACAACTGCGAGAGGCAATGCAGCGCTGGGGCTTCGTCTCCCTCGTCCACTACGGAGTGCCCTCCGATGCCATCGAACAGCTGTTTGCCATGAGCCGCGCCTTTTTCGCCTTGGACGAGGTGCATAAGATGTCTGTGCCACACCCTCCCGTGCCGAATCCTCACCGCGGATACAGCTACCTCGGCCAAGAGTTCACTTCTGGCCTCAGTCGCGCCAAGGAAACCGAAGCGCGCCATGGACGTCGTTTGCGCGATCTGAAAGAGACCTTTGACTGGGGCTCACGCCACGACACCCTCTTCCCCAGCGTCTGGCCCGACGATGCCGTGCTGCCGGGCTTCCGCGCCGTCCTCGACACCCATTTCGAGCGCGCACGAGAGCTACACCGGAGCATCCTCCGCGCGCTGGCAGAGAGCCTCGATGCCGACCCCGACACGTTCCTCGCCGCACATCAATGCCACGACAGCGAGGCTCGATTGGCGCATTACCCCCCGGTACAGGCGCGTGATCTGGGTAGTGAGCGCGGTACTAGCCGAATATGCGAGCATACGGACTCGGGGTCGGTCACGTTGCTATGGCAGGACAACGCAGGCGGTCTGGAGATTGAAGATCCTGCGACGGGGACATTCATTCCCGTATCGAACCCAGCACCAGCAGTATTGGTCAACCTAGGCGATGCAATGGAGCGCTGGACCAATGGCCTCCTGCCTGCAGCCTACCATCGGGTGGGAAAGCCCAGTAGTAGTAGCAGCACTAGTGGCAGTACTACTGGCAGTCGGGAAGGGGAAGGGAATAATAATGACAACGATGACAATGATGACAATGATGACCAGGTGGCTGGGCGATTCTCCATCATGTACTTTGGCAAGCCGGATCGTAATGCCTCACTCGCTCCATTGGGCCAGTTTGTGAGTGCAGAGCGGCCGGCCAAATATGCCGTTATCACTGGCGCGACGCTGAATCAAGGGACCTTGCTTCGTACATATGAGCCATGAAAGAGGAGGCTGACAATCTGACTGTCTGAGGTAATACTCTACCTCCTATACCTAGAGCCTGTATAAAAATCAGATAAGATACCTGTCAGTCCTGTCCTGTCCTGTCCCCTTCGTCCTAGGAGCCATGTCCCTAGACCAATCTCATTTCTCATCTCACTGCCACCTTGCCTCTTCAGGCTCTTCTCGCGACCGGACGACTCCCTCTTATCTATACGACATGGTGAACAGTGAACATGACCAGTCCTCCGTTACATCGGCACTGGTCTCTGTTACGCTAACTGCAACAGACGACTCGAGAGCCCAAGACGACAAGACAGGCTGGCCATGGACCTGGCTCACTACATGATATGCATGCATCATAGGAGATATTCACACCGCTAATACTGATGGATCAGGTGCAATGCGCACAATACCTAGGCGAGTGCTTCCACCCAGACGGGAGGCCTGTCCTGTCGTTCGGTATGATCCGCCGAGTGGCATCAACCTCCACGACTGCAGAACGTACCCCAAAGATGGCTACATGTAGTGAGTGGTGAGGAGTGTGGGCGGGGAGAGCGGTGAGTGACGGACGACTCACATTCACTGCGATGCCTCCATCTTCGCACACTGCGGCGGTGGATGACAGCAATGGCTCGGACATGTCGAATTGTATTATCGAGGGGGCGAAAGCCTGCACCGAGAAGCCGACCTGTATCGTTGAAATATCCAGTCGCAAATCGAGCGATCAACTATCAAAGCACGAGGAATGTGACGGTTTAGAGGCCAATGCCATCAACACCGAACCACTACCACCTCGCAGAGCAGACCGTCTGACTATACCAATCCTACTGGTTCTGGCCGTAGGAGGACTGGAAAGAGCCGCATTCTATGCCATTTCAACTCCTTGGCGTAGGTCCTCTACTTGCGAATACCTCATATACCGTATCATTGCACATATCCACTGACCCTCATTCATCAATGCATAGAGAACTACTTGCAGAATCCCGCCAGCAATCGCTCTCCGCCAGGAGCGCTAGGGCTGGGCCAGTCCCGAGCCACGGCCATCAACAATGCCTATCTGGTCTTCTCTTCTCTGACACCGTTGCCTCTCGCCGTCGTGGCCGACCTTCGATTTGGCAGATTCAAGACCCTCTTGGCCAGTCTCGGGTACGCACACTCTCTTTGGCGCATGCCATCGCCAGCATCGAATGTATATAAACTGACACGCCTGAGGACAGTCTGATTGCTCTAGGATGCGTGATACAGCTGATCACTTCTATACCCCATCTCCTGCGACTGAATGCAGGATCGGCAGGGCTCGCGGTGTCCATGATACTCATTGCAATTGGCACTGGCGGCATTCGAGCCGTCTTTCCTCCATTTCTGGGCGACCAATACCAACAGCGACCCAGTCCGTCTGGAGATGAAGAGGATACTAGTAGCAAGCACGAGGTAATCGACTATCGTCTTACATTGCAGTACATTTACAATGTGTACTATGCGTGAGTCTCCACAAGACTATAACCAAGACGGGACTTGAGAGTTGACCATGACTACCAGCGTCATCAATTTTGCATGTCTCTCGACCATCCCTTCGACATTCTTGGAAAAGTCATGCGGATTTTGGGCAGCTTTCACTTTTGCCACTGCCTGCATCTGCATCTCCTTGGTCCTCCTCACCAGCACCTCTGCGCAACTCGGTAAGTGTAGTGGATTGGTGTATTCTTGGTTCTGGTATACGTAGTTGAATTGACACTGTTCAGAAAAGGTCGTACCCGGCGACAACATCCTCGTGCCTGCAGCCAAAGTCCTCGCCTGCGCTATGCGGAATGGCTTCGACTTGCAGCGAGCCAAAAGCTCGTATCAGATGTCCACCTATGGCAAGACTCCTACATACACCGACTCGTTTGTGGAGGAAGTTCAGATGACAATGCACACCTGTCGGATACTGTAGGTGGCCTTTGTTTTCGTTTCCCAATACGACAATCTCACATATGTTACACTTCCTGACTCGTGTTGCAGACTATCCTTCGCCGTCTTTTACTTGTGCGCGAACCAAATGAGTAATAACCTGGTCTCGCAAGCAGGACAGATGCAGCTGTCTGGAGTGCCCAATGATATGGTGCCTACTTTCGCTTCGGTTGCGTGCGTCCTTCTCGCTCCAGCACTCCAAGCATTATGGAACTTCCTTGCACGTCGAAATATCACGTTTCGTGCCGTCACCCTGATCGAGACGGCCTTTGTCCTCTGTGCTGCTGCCATCGGCTTCGCTGCGTTGACCCAGCATCTGATCTACCAGTCACCACCATGCTTTGACCGACCCAAAACGTGTCTGCCTACAGGTCCACCAAACAACATCAGCGTCTGGGTGCAGCTCCCATCCTACATTATTGCAGCGCTGGCGGAAACGATTGGCTTTGTCACTGCGAGCGAGTATGCATATTCGCACTCTCCCAAGGAGGCGAAAAGCATGATTCAAGCATTTTCACAGCTCGCAGCAGCGTTGGGGAGTGTGCTTGGTCTGGCAGTCAGCCCGGCAGCTCGAGATCCTTGGCTGGTCGTCTTCTACGGAGCCCTGGCAGGGGGAATGATAGTCGCAGCGGCTATCTTTTGGTTACTATTTCGCAAAGCCGAAGAAGAACCAATAGCAGGGCCCAATTCCTCGGCCTAAGCTAGCTTCCGCTCATCGTATAGAGCAGAGCCCCTGAGGGAGTCATGGATGCCCGATACACATATACATGTACGCAGTGATAGGCTCAAGTCACATCCCTCAAAGAGATAAGTCGATATCACAGAGTGCAGCCGACATACGAAGGCAAGGCATGCTCACAAACCCGAACCTCATCCTCACCACAAGCCTAGCGGTATACCTTTTTCACCCTGCCTGCAAACCAGGCGACCTCGTAGCGTTGCAACGACACTCGACTATGCCTACACTATGCTACAGGATGCTCCCACGTCGAGCCATCAGATCGCTGCCCCCCCCCCCCCCCCCCCCCCCCAC